ACAATTACAGTGCAGTACAATTACAATACAGTACAGCTATAACTAAGCACAGCCACAGCACTTCACAGCAATCCTAGATGCACCCTTATACATATAAATTATTCATCTCTTAACTTTTAATGGTTGAAATTTATTACGATTTTTTAAATAAAAAATATAATTATCTTTAATAAATTGATAAAAAGTGAATAAATCTTAATTATTAAAAGTGAAGAGATAAATCGTCAATATTTTATATAAATATAATGTATAAAATTTATGTATAAGTGAATTCTAACTCTATATATATATATAACTAATGCTCATTCACTTTATTTCCAAAAAATTAAGAGGCAAATTACTCTAGTGGATCATCACAAATCCTAGGCAAATTACGTGAGGGTTTGGGAATGTTAACTGTTCAAGTAAATCTTAAAAGGATAGGAAATTTTTTTTACTACTATACGTATTTCTAATTTGGGAATGTTATCTGTTAAAGTAATCTTCAAAGGAAAATGATAATGTGCAGGACTGTGTAAGACGAAAGATTAGGACCAGAACTTGAAAGGAAATGTTGATGACCGTTGATCTTGGTGTGACCCCCATATGGGCCCAGATGATCAAGGGATGAAAAAATTTATCCCATTTTTTTGGTTCCGATGTTTCGTCTCGTGTCAGTGCTCTATTTCTAATAGAAGATATATTGATATGGATGAACAAAATCAGCCTAAACTATAAATTAATATTCCAACTCACATAAAACTAGCATAATTTGAACCAATGACCTATTAAACAGTGCTAATATCCAATGCAAATATGAGATTAATTACTCCTAATTATAAGATGAATGTCAGGTGAGGATGTCAAATTAGAATACGATGTTCTGATCTGAAAATTTAAATTATCATTAATATATTAATATATGCTTTATTATTATTATTGTTGTTATTATTATTATTTGAATTATCCCTCTAAACTAAAGTCCTCAAGAAATCAAGTTGGTAAAACCCTACGAATCCTCCAAACTTATTTCAAATTCTTGATTGAGTTCCTAAACTTTCATTTGAATAAATAATCTCTTGAATTTTGTGATTTGGGCAATTTAACCTCTTTTTTTTTTTTTTTTTGGCAAACTTAATATTTGTTTGTGCATCGTTTGTGTGAATAAGACATTGACATGTCATTGCTTACATGATGAATATTGATTTTATCTATGTAAATAAAGTACAAATGAATATTTAAATTGCTATAAAAAAAGGGGTTAAACTACTTAGATTAATAAGTTTAAGAACTTATTTACTTTAATAAAAGTTTATAATTTTAATAAAAAATTTGAGATAAATTCCAAGGTTTGACTTAAGATTTTGCTAATCAAGTTCTCAACCTAT